TGTGTGTGTGTGTGTGTGCGAGACAGTGAACAAAAAGGAGCCATTCCCCAGGGGAAGAACATGTATTTCTGCTGTTCAGGAATAAATGTTTAAACCAGAAAGCCCATGAAGATACTGTGTTCTGGGGTGTGAGGGCATATAACCTGGTAGATATATACTTTCTTGGAGGAATGTGCTGTGCCTCTCTTTGTGATAGCAGAAAAATATTGTGAGTAGTTAGGACACTGATTCCTGGTCAGATAATTGTTCTTTAATTCAACAAGAACAGCCAAATATAATAACAAATCTCATGACAGTTTTATCACTCAGAATTACACTATCAGAGCCTGCTTTTCTGCAGTTTTTCAGTAGACATTACATAAAATTAATCAGTTCTGTGTAGTAGTCATGTTACATCACAGTGATGAACTGCCATTATAGGCTACAAGAGATAAGACGGTATGACTGTAGACAGACAAGAGTTTTATACTGTTAGGTAAATATGGTGAGAGGCCTCTTGTATCTTATTTTGAATGAATCTGGTATTAACCTTTAGCAGCATAGTGTATATCTCTCACTACTGCAGCACTGGCAGTTAGATGTATATTTAAAAAAAATGCAACACCAGACCTTCTGGGATCTGCTGAAGCATTGCATGCACCAGCAGCTAAGGGTAGTTACATGTATGCATGGCATTACTGCTGTGTCACATATGAGGCCTCCACTGTTAACAGTCAGGAAAGAAGAGGATGGTATGACATGAGTTCAGCAAATTGTAGTATTCAGAAATATTGAAAAGTTTTCAGAATAATTAGGGGTTGTGTGTTATTTGTTTGGAACTTTATTACATACTGCAGAACATTCACATACACACACTTGTCTCTGCCACTGACGAACACCTTTACTTTTGCAGTCCAGAAAGTGTGAAGACTCGAAATGATGTGTTCTACTTGCTGCCAGAACGATCGTGCGTTCCAGACAGTCCTGTGTGGTACTCGACAATGGCACTGGGCAGGGAACCTCTTGTCAAAATGCTGCACAGAGTGAAGATGGTCAAAGAAATAAATATTGCGTTACTCACAAGTTAAATGTCACTTCCCTCCCCATTCCTTGGGCTTAGCGAGCAGCGTGTACAAATGGGACCAAGATGTGGCGAGTGCATTATTTGTGACGTTTTAGGCAGTGCTGATGGACGTATTAAGCCCATAAGAAATAAAGCTTGTGGATCTCATGATGCAGGTGGCAGCAGTGCTGCAGACTCCATGCATATGGACAGAGTGTTGGCATCTTAGAGAGAAATATTTGCTCTATATAGTAAGTGTACAAACTGTCTGCACAGAGACACCTTTTTTTATTGTTTACATATTTGAAATCTTCATATTGAGTTCTTTTGTAGATAAGTTGCAAAAAGATCATAAAAAAAGCATTTTAGAATAAAATACTACTTCTGCTAACATACTCTTAAGAGGAGAGGCGGCTGCCGCAGCTACATGTCTGCCAGACTCATTCTGTTGTTCAGATTCCTATTGTAAATATGGTTATGAAGTGAAAGTGTGACTTAAATTAGTTTGCAGTTAGATTCAGAGAATTCTGTTCTGTAAAAACATGAACTTTCCTCATAGGAATATGTTGTCAAGAGGTTTTATAGTACCTTATCACAGTTTTGTGGAAGTCTTTAATTGAAACTGAATGTCTAAATAAAAAATGAAATGATGAGTTTCAAAAAACATTAAGGACTAGGCTTCCAGATATTTGGCAGCCATCCTATTACATTTAAAGACGTAGCAATACATTTGATTTGTTTCATTCTGGTCCATCACACTAACAAATTATAAAGACAAAACAACTCCATCCAGTGTGACTATTGAAGTTTTTACTACTTCAAACCCTATAGACCATCATCAGAGGGACATCGATACTTTTTGGAAACTGCTATCACAATGGGTGTTTTCAATGTTAAAATACACATGCATACAATGTTTGTAATGCACAATATATACAAAATCCAACTTTTCCACAACTACAGCAGCTCTCTTGGTATATTAAAGTTTTTAAAACATTGTTAAGTTAAAATGTATAAACCTCCAAGAAAGACGATAGGAGAAGGGACACGAACCTACTTGGTTTATAAATTTTAACTGAAATAACAAAGTTTTAAAAACTTTAATATACCAAGAAAGCTGCTGTAGTTGTGGAAAAGTTGGATTTTGTATATATTGTGCATTACAAACATTGTATGCATGTGTATTTTAACATTGAAAACACCCATTGTGATAGCAGTTTCCAAAAAGTATCGATGTCCCTCTGATGATGGTCTATAGAGACCGAAACATGTAAGGATGTTAAGTTTTCAAGTAGTAAAATCTTCAATAGTCACACTGGACGGAGTTGTTTTGTCTTTGTAAGTAGCAATACTTTAACTTGAATACCTTATTTACCCTACTATAAGAGGATTTTCTTTTTAATGTCTGTTTTCACTGACAAAGTGCAGGAGGGAGGGAGCAGTTGTCTTGTATTTGAAAATGAACTGCATAGAATAGCAAATTCAAGTCTACAGTTTCTGGGAAAACTGATATCTGGCAACTCTGCCATACAGGGACCCCCACCTCATTTATGGATTCTTTGGGAATCAGCGGACTTGAACACTTAAACTGAGGAAAATCTTAAATGGAGGAAATTTAACAGTAAGATTGTTGACTTGAGATCATTGAAATTGATCATTAAATGAGGATCCACTATTTCCCAAAACTTAGTAATTTCATACACTGTTGGTAAAAGGTAAATTGTCCCTGCGCATTAAGCACCACATTACGAATAAGTATGGGGGACATGAGATATAGATCCATACATTCATAAAGTAAAGTAAAGTTATCCCTGTAACAGGCCGTGAAGGCCCATAGGGCTGTGAGACGAGGGTCCCACATTATCTAGACAATCGGCTCAAAGATGGCGGTGAAGTTGTCAGCCTTATGCGCCGGCTGTGCTTTACTCCCAAGAAGATTCCTGGTACTCATTTCTGTTAGAGGCTGAGTCGACCCCGGGGCCATAGTGGGGCTGGAAGGATTAGGTCAACTGAAAAAAATCCAATGACCTCATTGGGACTTGAACCCGCGACCTTCCGGCTTGTAGCATAGTGCCTCAACCAACTACGCTACCGCGTGCCCCCCATACATTCATAAGGTGAGGTAAATAACCATCTTCACACCCTGGCTGCTCTGCTCTTGGGCAAACAGACTCTGGTACCCCTTCGATAGGAGAATGGGTGGGCCCCAGAGCTGATTTGGATACTGTGAATAAGAAGAATCTCTTGCCCCTGCTGGGAAACAAGTCCCTGATTCCTTGACCACCCAGCCTGTAGCCTGTTACTATACCGACTGAGCTGTACCAGTATATTTCTGAAATTAGCAGTTGGATTTTTGTAACTTTTTTGATACAGTTTATCCAGTTTTGTATTTCTGGAGTCATTAAGTTAGTGGGTCTATTCTTTATGTATATTTTGTAATGACACATCATCCAAAAAAAACATGACTCCATATTTCCAACTTTGCTTCCATTCACCCAAAGAAAATAATAGTTTAAGCAAAACACTTTTTTTTGGAAATATCATATTGGTAGTCAAAGGATGTGTGTGTTATCAATTTCCAAATGTCAGTTTGTCATGGTTGTTGAGTACCAGCACATTATACACTATCACTGCCAGTATTGAACATGTATATGTAAGTACTTGTTATTGGTTTTAATTTATCTTTTTGGTATGTTCACAACGAAAAGTTGCAAAGTGCACCTATTAACTATGCTATGTCTGCGTCAAGAACTGCGGAGTAGATTTTCAAAATATCTGATATTCATAAGTTTTGCTACAATTTATCCACATGTTTCTGTTTTGGTTAAAATCAGATAACAGTGACAGACACTTTACATGAAAATGTGTTTCTGCATGCATCTGAACTGTAAGTTGCTAGACATTTACTGAAGCAAACAGTGTTTCAAACGGAAGGTGCAGAGAAAAATTAAAAGAGTGCACCATCATAATTGTGTTTTCTGAGATAATTAAACAAAAGGATCTTGTGCTACATAGATTCATTCGTTGCCAATTTTAATTTAATGGTTATCAGATATTTTGAAGGGACTAATAATCGTGGGGCACTAAGGAAACACTGCATTTTCGAGATCAGCATGTAGCAGTAAGAATAGGACAATTATTAACTCTTTGACTGGTGCGGGCGTGTTTTAACGCCCGGACGATGCCAGCCGTTCCCTGGCGTTGGCGTGTTTTAACGCTTTGAAAATCTCTTCCCTTCTTTGCTCTCTTGGCACTCATCAACCAAAGACATATATATGATAGTTTTTGTGCATGTTTGTAAAGAACCCTTGTAAACTTTGTGGGGGTCTATATTACTGTCAGAACCCTCTGAGAAGGAAAAGTTCAGAAAATATTTAACATTCATTCAGTTTCACCATGGCTTCTCGCAGGAAGTGTTGGCATGTTCCTACAGACCAGCTGGAAAGTGTTGTGAAGGAGATTGTGCTGATGATGATAGTGGCGATGAAATAATGATTCCTGAATTAGATAAAGTTGATAGTGACAATAATATAATGATAGACAGTGATCCACAAGACAGTAATAATGAACATTTAGCTACCACGAGTGTGGTGCTTGACACGCCCATCTGATGAACGTACGGAGACATTGTACCAACAATAGTTCTATTTGCTAGTAGTTTCGGGATCAAAATTAATATAACACTCAAAATGCATCCTTTTTCATGGATTAAAATTTTTTCTGGAGACGACTTGGTAAATCACATCACAACTGAAACCAATCGCTATACTCACCAGCGCTTCAACACACAAGTTAGCTCCTCACTCTCGAAAACACAATTACAAATATGTCACATCAGATGAAATCTGGACATACTTAGGAATTGTGTTCATGACAGGAATCGACAAACGCCCTGAAATTGAAGAATATTTGTCCACTAGGCCCCTATTTCACACTCCATGGTATGGACAAAAAATGTTTTTGCGGTTGAATAGTTTCATTCTATTCAAAAAGAACACAACAAACGGAAAACACAAGAGAAATTACAAATTGAAAGATTTTATATTGGACTGTGTAGAAAAACGACTGAACCAAACAGACAGTGTGGAGAGGGAGAAGAGTCAAGGAATGAAGTAGATAACGAATCTATTGCATCAGACTCCAGTGAAGTCATGCCTCCGCCCTCGACTTTGAAAAGACCACCAGTGTAAGAGCCAGTAAATCGTCTAGAGGGTGGCCTGAAAATTCACAAAATGGTCCATGTTCCTCCCAGTAACAATAAGAAGAATGGTGCCCTGAGAAAGTGTTGAGTGTGTGCTAAGTACAAGATTAGAAAAGAAACAAGTGTCATGTGTGCAGGCTGTGGTGTGGCTCTCTGCAAACTTTCATGTTTCAATGTTTATCACACGAAGAAAAACTAATAAAGAGGTATGGAAAGGCGTTTATTGCATAAAATATTGTATTTTAATTAGTTCCTGGAAATTTCGTTTTTAAAAACCAATTTTTGTTGAAGTTGTTTAGGAAAAAGTAACTACATGCATTTTAGCGACATAAGGTTTAAAGGGCCTGCCAGGACAGGGGTGGGATTTAAATACCCTTCACGCCAGTCAAAGAGTTAAGTGCAAGTTCCACCAGAAAAAGCATTCTGTCGACCTATATTGGATCATTATAAAGAGATGTAAAAATGTTAAAGCTATGAGAGAAATGTGTATAAAAACAGTTCTGTATCGTCTTAGCCTTGTAAATATGATACTTCCTACAAACCTAGAGTGTTGATAGATTGTAAAGATGGTAATGTTTACAATCATCACAAGTGCATGGTTGCCAACTTCCAAGTCTTCACTCTACACTATTTTCTTTGCCCAAAATAAATCTGTTTTATTAGCTTGTCTTGTTAGTTTCCTTTTATATGCCCAGATGGTCAATATTCAATGTGGAAAGCTGCAAAGAGATGGTAGTTTGGAACTATCTAGGAACAGTTCTGAAGAAACTGAATATTTCCTGCTTGATGATGATACCCTATTTTATGCCATGCAGATGTAATGATGTTTGAGACATGTTCCTCATTTTGTTCTATTCAATCAGTAATATACTCTGGAACTTATTAATGCTCATGGTTATACCAAGTTTAAAAAGTTATTTGATGATGCTGTGGTGCAATGCCTCCAGGTACTTGTTACGATTTTGTCCATCCTAATTTGTGGTTCCCCCCCCCCCCCCCCCANCATTTTGAAAATGGGTTCTTCTATTTGTTCCTTTGGGTAGACAGGATATGAATAAGCTTTTACTCTGTGGCCCCTTAAAAACAGCTGCTCTCACACCCTGAAGTTTGAATCTCAGGGAGAAATGGTTTTCTTACACTTAAATTGAGTTTTCACTAAATGGGTTATGCAAAATTACACAGGAAAACTGTTGAGCTTGTACGACTTACTGTATTTAATTATGAAAAAATATCAGTAGTTACAGAAATTTCTACACAAATAAATACAATTACATAATTCAAAATTAATTTCTAAAATGAAAATGAAACTCTGAAAGAAACCTAGTTGGGAGTCAAAACAGCCACGATACCACAAGTGGTGTGGCTTCAGTATGTGATGTCACTCACCAAAGATAATGGTTGAGTGGTAACAATTTGGCAGAAATAAAACATAAATATTGGTTGGGTTGACCACAGTCACACAAAATCGGTAGAATTCTTGAAGGCCCAAAACTTACGATGAGCGCAGTTTATTTACTGAATCAAAATTCACTACATAGGTGTATGTGGCTTCAGGTGGAACCAAAAAGAATATTCACTAAATTTGGACTTCATATCTGCTCCTTATTACATCATGTATGGTTTATTATTCCAATCTGTTACTGTCACTGTCACATACTTTAAGTCGGTCATAAACGATTTTGTCCATTATGCTAACAAGACATGAACACCACATCTACACGGCTTTCTTCATAGTCACCACCGTGAAAACCTCAAATATTACAAGACATGAACAGATTCTTTTTCTTTGCTTCTAGACCAGTATCTTAATTAACTGCATGCCTTATTTTGGCACATCACATTATATACCATCATAATCAAGAATTCCAGCTCATTTAAAAAGCCAAATGTTTTAACCAGTTCTTTTTGGTCTGACAAATGTTCGCTTCCTCTTCATTTTTTTCGTTATTTCTAGTTGCTGTAGTTGAGTATAAACTTCTGCAAATATTGATTCCTGCTCTTCAGCTGGTATTGATTCTCTGGAAAAAAAAAGATTTAACCAGATGTTAACATTTTCAACATGAATGTACACATATGACCATACTGCAACGTCTAGCACAATGCAACATTTTATCTTTGTAAGATGCAGATATGTGCAACAAATTGGAGAGCCACATAATTCTTACCACACCGATGGCCACTCCTGCCAAGTGACAGGCTGCTGTCACTCATATGTAAATACCACTGTCTCCTGCAGATGTTAGTCAGATTCAGAGAAACTTTAACTATAATCTGATGAGGCTCGGAAGAGTTAAAATACACAGTTATGGTTGACTGTTTTTTCTTATTCTCTTTTGTTCTAACATAGCAAATACAAAACCCAGTTTCTGTGAAAAAATGGTGGACATGACAGCTCTGTGTTAAGTCAGTAACAGATGAAACAGTTTCATCAGTGAAAGAGTACAAATTACTGTGATAGCCACAACAGCAGAGGGATCAAGTGACATGGAGGACACTGCTGACTGTGGCACATTTTGCATCAGTCTTGCAGCTCAAAGCCACAACTTTCAGTTGACTGCTCCCTCTTTTAGCCGCGCCGCACACTCCATAGTGTTACAATAACTGGTTAGAAATTGACACACAAGAAAGGTGCTTATGGGAGGGGAAAAGACTTCGTTCTAAGATGGACAACCCTGGTGGAAACAAATGTCATCATCTTATATAGTGTGCTCACAGAGGGCATGGTGGCAGGTGGCATTAACAATCAAGCAGCCTCAATGCATCATTCTGTAACACATGCACATACTCCCACATATTCTATGAATAATATTTACCTAAACCATCTTAATGTAAAGAACAAAGAGGAAGGAAGGGGAGAGGAATTATGATAGGGCAGTGAAATATAAGAAACAGGAAGGGAATAAAGGAGGAATGAGTGAAGGAGATAAAAGTACTAAACAGATGATGGAAAGTAACAAAGGGAATAAGGGATATAGACACCAAAATTATTTTCCTCAAGAGACTACGTACATAAAAACACATGACCATGTGATGGGATGTAGTTTATGTAATAAATATGTGAAGAGGCTTTCTTTTGAAGTTTTAACAGGCATTACACCACTTGTTTAAAGTATTACAAATGCTTCACCTGTATTCTTTCATGAGGTCATATTTCTCCCATGGCCTGGCCACTTCTGCAGCCCTCTTGTAGAATCTCTCAGGGAGACCCAGATCCTGCACTCCTTTTAGCTCCTGCCTCTCCCACCTTTCTAGCCAGGGTCGTGGTTTCAGTTTCACCTGAACGTCCAATAAAGATATGAGAATTGTAACATGCCAACAGTATACAGTCATGGCTCGTGACTCATTTCTGTGTTTATGGATTCATGCTGTTTTAACTGCTGAGTGAGCTTACACCATGAAATTAAATGAGATAAGTCATGAATAGTAGCTATACAGAGATTTGGAAGAAGGATGCTGGAGCCTATTTCAAGGTGTAATCCTGGCATTCATCGGGGGGGGGGTTAAGATAAGAACCTGTTGGGATAACCAACAAGTTACTGAGACTTGAGATTTCAGGTTCTGACAGCAGTAAATATCAAGATTACAGCCTTCTGAAACATGCTGCTCTTGAGTATGGCAGATAGGTACTAAGGTTTTGCAAGAATCTGCTGTCTCCATCATCACTGTAGGTTTCTCTTCTACTATGAAGACAGTAGCACAATGTTCCTTTGAAACACTGGTACCTATCTGCTATATATATGTTACCACATCCCAAAAGACTGCAATTTCAAGTACCTTCTGTACACGTATGAGTATGGTACCACTGCAGCTGTGTCCAAATTATTCTGTAGCAAATACACACTTCAGATAATCAACAGTAATCTTAGGGAGGGGTTAACTTTGGGAATCTGGATCATCATGTACTCCAGTTTTGTGGACTGTGGTGATGCCAATAATGATCCTAGTATTGAGACCAAGTACACTGTTCAGGGAAGACTGTGCTGAAGAATAAGTTGTAGAATTTACTTATGGAGCTGAGCCCTTCTGGAGGAGCTGCCAATTCTGAAGCTACTCAAGAAAATCCCAGCATTTTATGGAACCCAAAGGTTCATTACCGTGTTCACAAGAGCCCTCCACTGGTCCCTATCCTGAGCCAGATCAATCCAATCCATCCCATCCTATCTCTCTAAGATCCATTTTAATATAGCAGCTTAAAAATAGTGTCCCAAAGATATTTCCGCTACTGCACTGTAGGATTCCGGACTTCTGAAATACTTTTATTAATACAATGTTTCTACTGACTTAATATTATCATTGTTGTTCAATGTCTGCTCCTCATGTAAAAACTGTCCCTCTGCTAGATGTGCATCAGCTGCTAATGTAGTTTGCAGGGACGCTGACGTATTCGGAGCCAGGAACGTTTTCCTCTTATAATATGGTATAACTGTTACTATTATTATTTGCACGAACATAAACTAGAATTAAACTGAATTATTATTTCTAAATATCTATACCTTACATTTCTCAATTGTCAATAGCAACTTAGATTTGTGATAATGAAATTATTATTATTATTATTATTATTATTATTATTACTTTGTTTCCTTATATGAATTAATGTCTTTTTCCTCCAATGCTTACCTTTAATTAGTCTTTATGTTGTGTTTGTCCAATATGTAACTACTTTCATCTACACTGTGCTGTGTCTGTAATTGGCCTNAGTTTGCAGGGACGCTGACGTATTCGGAGCCAGGAACGTTTTCCTCTTATAATATGGTATAACTGTTACTATTATTATTTGCACGAACATAAACTAGAATTAAACTGAATTATTATTTCTAAATATCTATACCTTACATTTCTCAATTGTCAATAGCAACTTAGATTTGTGATAATGAAATTATTATTATTATTATTATTATTATTATTATTACTTTGTTTCCTTATATGAATTAATGTCTTTTTCCTCCAATGCTTACCTTTAATTAGTCTTTATGTTGTGTTTGTCCAATATGTAACTACTTTCATCTACACTGTGCTGTGTCTGTAATTGGCCTTGTGGCTGTTGGCTCGGCACATAAATAATAAAGAATTGAATTGAACTGAAAATAATGTCAATGTCCCCAGGTAAATTATGGCAGCAAAGGCAACATCAAGAGAGTGTACAGTTGGTATTTGCAAATGGAAAAAGTGCTCCACATTAATCTACTGTTTCAGAATTCAATACTGAATATCCAGGAAATTTACTAATCTATATTCCATACATTAATTGAGATCCTAAGGAGGTATGAATTTTGGGCCACAGTGTTTAACTACCAACCTTGATAGGGTTAACAGGCACTGTGGAACCTTGAGAAAGATGTTCAGGTTCCATGTCCAACGGGAAAGTGCAGTACTCTGGTAGGGCATCTCGCAAATACAGGAGCTCACTGTCCAACCTCTTCTCCAGACGCAACACTTCAATCTTCTGAATAAGTGGACTATACATTTCATAGAACATTTCCACACCTAAACACAGTGAATTCTTACTGAACACATTTCTATCTTGTCACAATTCATTCCAACAAAGCGTTTACAATGTTCTACATATATATAATGGGGGATTGTGAATCATAGAATACCAAGGAAACTGGAGGATAATATTAAAATGGGTCATGAAGATGGCAGGTGGATGGAATGGTTCAGTAGTATGTCCAGTGACAGGCTTTGGTATTAGCCGTCTTGCGTCTCCTGATTTCTGCTGCCATAAAGTGAGTCATATGTGGTGTCATGGGGGCAATACAAATGTTTCTGTACTTTTACACAAAAATTCCTATGACTGACAATCCCACTCTGCTCTGAATACAAATTAAAGTATAATCATGCTACCTTGATGGTCAATCACATTCCTAAGAATGAAAAATGCCCGTAATCCACAGCCACCACGCTGAATGCAGATTCCAACAAAGCGACTCAGTTTCTCTGGAGCATGTTGGTTTGCAGATGACACTGCCAATATGCTTCCTGGAACAATTTTAATTTTATATTTACTTTTCCATTCCCTCAGTATTATATAATAGTAGTAGTGAACTTCTTAAACTCTCACTGTAAAATTATGACTTTTTTAACACAGTGATCAAGGCTCACCAGTGTAGAATTCAGGTACGTCAATGTTGCTTCTGCGATTCAACATGTCCATCCTCTCAAGTCTCTCTCGTAAACTGTTACGTCGGCCCACCCTTGGATCCGGCAGAAATTCTGGATACACAAATCTGCATTCCAAAGGCACAACAGCTTTGTGTCCTCCATTGGTCTCTTGTTCTTTCGTTTCCTCAGAAACTAATTTTTCTGGTCTAGAGAGTGAAGATAAGCACCTGTATTCGGAGTTCGCTGAAGGACAATAAAAATACATTTGCTACAATGTCAGTGCAATTAAATCATCCTTCATGAAGATCATACATTTATAACGTAAAATACGCAACCTCTATAGTTAACGTAGGGCTCACTGCTACATAAATTATGAGGCGAACAATAAATACAAAACATCTATTTCAACTGTTTATTTGTGTTATTCTGTTTATACTCTAATAACCATCAATTACACAACAGGCCACTAATAACTGTTTCTAAGTAAATGTTATGTTCCAGGTTAGAATACGCATCGCCATATACATTTTATTCACTTGGATTAATTCTGAACGACAGCACACAGCAGTAAAGTACGATTAATGCGATTAATGACGAGTGGCTTATCTATCCTGTGATTAATCTTACCTACTGTCTTAAATAACAAAAAGTTTGATTTTATATCACGACGAAATCTTCTGACAAACCGCGACAAAAGCGCCATTTTGACGATTTTCACCATGGTATTAGTGGTATTAGTGGTATTAATCGTATTGATGGGACATCATCCGTGGGATCGAACTTCCCATTTTCTACAATTCAGTCTTTAGCGGTCTTTATGGCTTTAGGGCTCGGACTATTACGTTTGGATTCTGTATGTAATCGCGTATGAAACCTATCCCCAAGGTCCTGGAGCCCTGGAATTCAGGATTGTTCACGATGTTCACGATCTTCCACAATGTTTAGGATAGCACTGCGGCCATCGGGGTTATTCGATGACGTTCAGTGACTTCTATGCGACAGGAAAGAACGAATATGCATGCTCACTGTGGGCGCCGTGGGCGCTGGAGGCAAAGCGGCTTATCGAGTCGTCGTACGCAGTCGATATGCGAGATATGTTAGACAAATTTGTGAGGTTGGTTTTGTAACGTAATGATTTTGTTGTCATATTTCATCAGTTAGAAGTTTCACGAATAACCGAATAAACATAAGTGATGAATATATCATTTATACGAAAATAGCCTCAGAGTTGTATTATTATTATTATAGGCTCTTATTTTGGAACGCCAGTGTATGTTTATTGGAGTGATTAATGCAGGACCAGTTTTAGGCCATAACAAAATCTACGTAAATACCACCAGTAAGAGAATGAGATGATTGTATGTGTGAGAAAAAATTAAAACTGATGTCGTGTTATAGTGAATGCAACGTATTATAAGACATAGACCACATTGCACAATTTTGGGTGTATTCTAAGAAATAGGGTCAGAGTGACGATTTATTTCATCGTCTAGTACAATGGAAAACGGATCGGACATTACTTGTGCGCCTTTGGAAGACAATGAAATGAATGTTGATACAGATTTTTCGTCCGGAAGTAGCCAGAATGCTAGTTTCATACTGAGTAGTGCATTTCAGACTAGTGGCAGTGAATGCCCCAGAGTAATGAAGGCCAGTAGACTTAAGAATTGTACTTTTAAAGGGGAGACAGAAGGTGAAGCTCAGGAGGTCCCAGAATGTGAAGTTCCTTCTGATGAGGATGAACAGAGAATGAGCCAAATACAGCATGTAGAAAATCGTTGTAAAGCATATTCTGAGCACATTAGTGAACATAAAAGAAGAAAGCTTGAGAGTAAGTATTTCAGTTACAATTATTTACACAAATTTATGAAGTTTCACTAAAACTTATCTCTTAGGGATGTGGATACTCTGGAAGATGAATGTTAGAAAAGTTATTTATATGTATCTTACTTCACCAACAATTCCACAGTATGGTAATCCCAGTTCACAATGTAGTGTCATTTAATAGAATTCATATAAACCAATATTTATGAAGTCTAACCAGTGTAATTCCCTTTCAGACTTTTCAGTGAATTTGAGTTTTATTTATAGCTCCCAGCTCTGTCATGTAAAAACTGATTCAATTGATAGAGCTGGAATAGCTCAGTCAGTAGGTTAAGAAAAGCTGGAGATTTCATTACCAAGGAGTTAAGTATAATTCCTGATAAGGGCAGAGAGATTTGTCTTCTCTACAGCTTCCAGACCAGCTGTAGGGTCTACCCAACCACTCATATAATAGGTACAAGGGGCTATTTTGTGGGGGGGAAATGTAATCAGGGCATGAAATTGATCAGTCACCTCCATCTGTACCGAGGTTAAGAACACATGGAGCTATATCTCCATTCCTGATATTTCTTAATGCCATGATGGTTAACTAAGCACAAGGCAAACTTTACCTTTACTGTCTATCTTTATAATACAGCAATCAGTAACTTATGCCCCTTTCCTTGCATAATGTTTTGATGTAGCTGCACAATTTATGAACATTTGTATGATGTGCTAACAAATTTAAAACTATTTTTTGTTCATGTTTTGTGCCTTTTTAATATTTATGAAAAAATCAAAATTTGGTGACAGATTAGGGTACATTTAGTTAGTTTATATTAATTTCATTTAAAGAATGTTTGTGTTCATTGTAGTATGCATAAATAAAATACATATTTTGCTAGAATTCATGCTGTGGCCTTCTTTGTCATGACACCACATCATAGTCACGTCATCGCTCTTCCTTTATGCCTCTGCACCTTCTTGCCCTTTCTTCCTGCAGTCCTATAATAGTTACCCTTTACAGAGCCACAGCTCTTATTGGGCCACCTGGGCTCCATCTTTCTTTCCGCATCCTGGGCTCTGTGACCTTTTTCTGGGGGGGGGGCACTGCTTCAGTGTAACCTGCCGCTATCCCAACTTTGCTCACCTTAACTCTGAAAATTGAAGTTGTATATTCCTTGAAAACATTGATACCCACCCACTATACAATGCAGTGTAATGACCCACAATACCACAGTATGCATCTTCACTGTCATTAGAACCTCACACTTTGTACAGATTTTTGCAGAAGATGATATATGTGTACATGCTGAAAGGGCCTTAAGTACATGGTGTAATGTTTTGTAAAGTCCAATTCTATTTAAGCCTTACACTGCTTATTATTTTTGTAAACTAATGTCATTTTAAGGTAACAAAAAGGATAAAAATACATTTTCATAGACCAGTGAATAATGTTAAGTGACACAGTGAAAGATCACTTTCTTGATGTGGACTAAAGCCAAATGCTGTACTATGTGTAATGGATGATTGTTCAATTCCGTTTGAATATTGTTGTAATAGGGTTAATCATTATGAGATTTTAGGTTTTCACAGAGGTGACTGAAGATTACTGTCTTCTGGGATATGACATCATGTGGTTTGGTGCATCATTACTGACATTTCACAGGAACGTACTTCATCTGTCTTCATAGTATTTTAACTCTGTCCTGGAAGTGGATGGAGTGTTGGTGACATTGCAGTGAACTACACAGTGTCGCATCCCAGAAGCCAGTAATCTTGACAAATATTGATTTTAGGCTGTCATTGTGATAATGGTTGATGTTAATTCAGATCTTTAGTGGTTGCACCATGTGGATGTGGGCACTGATGCCAGCATTTCAGAGGTCTTATCTTCATGAATGATGTGTGCAAGGTGGATGAGTTCTTATATATGTAGGTTTATATTTCAAAAAGAACTGAAGGGGGGTGGGATTAAAATGTTGGGGTTGATGGCCGAACTGGGTCAGTGGGAACAGTGGGCGAGAAAAGAACGGTAAAACTATCCCTGTAACAGGCTGTGGAAGCCTATAGAGTTGTGGGACATTGAGGCTCCCACATTTTCTAGACGGTCGGCTCATAGAAGACAGTGAGGTTGTCAGCCTAAGGCACCGGCCACCCTTTACTCCCCAGGAAGATTCATGATACTCATTTCTGTTATTGGCTGAGTTGGCCCCAGTGCCATAGTGCACTTCTCATTGGGAGTTGAATCCGTGACCTTCCAGCTTGTAGGGCAGTGTCTCAACCAAGTACACTACCGCGTGCCCCTGTTCAAGCAAAGGATTCTGAAATATTGATAGCATTTCCCATATCCACACTGTGTAACCACTCAAGAACTGAAAAATCATCAATCTTTATATTGTTATTTAGGCATATTGATGAGAAAGGTTTTGCACCCAGAATAATTACTAATATATGTGTTTCTCAAGTTCCAGAGGAAGGTAGTCCAGTGGAGAACAAGAGAGTGAAGAGAGCTGGTATGTACCTTCTGGGTCCAGTACTAGGGAGTTCCCCTGTCAAGAGCATTGTCCAATGTTTAGCCAGAAGAGATGGAACCGATGACTTCTACACACTGAAGGTGCATCGCTGGCTTACCTCTAATACTTTATTATTTTGGATGTTGAAGAAATTTCTATGGCTTGTTCTTGAGATTTTGATTAGGAAATTGCATGTTATTCATGGTGCAGAAGACTTGGATGGCAAAAGTAGTAACCAAAGTTTCTACACAGCTTGTACCAAAATCCTGCCATTGGTTACAGTTCCCATCTTGTATCCTCATACTCTGCTTCTGTAAGATAAATGCTGTTCTCCCTTCTCTTTTTATTGGACTGTAAAACAACTGTTTTCTAAAAAAATTTCCTACTAAAATGGAGTAGTTTTCTTGCCCTATCCAAAAGACTTGCCCAGCCCATGGGTGCTGCCAGGATTTTCTTTCTGGGGGTGGGGGCTGCAGCTAGTGCCTAGGTCAAGAAAATGTGAATCTATACATGCTGTCCCCAAGAAAATGTGAATCTATACATCCTGTCCCCCATATGCCTTCATGGCATAGTGCTTAATTAGTTAAGCACAGGGACAACTTTACCTTTTTAGTTATTAGAAGGTTAAAGGTCAGGGATCTGTAGCTGTTTGATGATATGACGTTAATTCGAAGGTGGCGATGTTTCAGATCTTAACATTAGAAGATGCTGAGGAGGAGACGCAGGATGATCGGCAGGGACGAATGTTGCTCCACACCGAGTACTCACTCCTGTCACTTCTTCATAATCAGGATGGTGTCATTCATCATCATGGATTCTTCAAAGTAAATTTTTTGACTCAATGTAATTAGTTCTATGTACTAACCCTGTTAATTGTTATCATCTGCATATCTTGCGTTCCTGCCCATCACTGTGGGTCATGCTATGACAAAGCCTCTTCCATTTTTCTCACTTGTCGTTCCTCCTGTAAATCCTCATTCTGTATCCGTGTTCACTCCTGCTGTATTCTGTTTTGTATACACTTGAAGGAGGCTAGAAGCCAACAGTTATAATCATGCACTGATATACTGATGAAAGTGACACTTGACAGCCGTGAGCTGTGCCTGCTTGCCCTTGTCATGCTGTGTCTATCAGCCTCTGTTTCCGTGTGTTATGTTGGCTAAGCATTGTGAAAACTGAGCATGATATTGGCCTGTATCTCAAACCAGAGGTAAAGCAGTTTCATCTTCTGTAACCCAATCTCCACATGTACTGAGGTATGTACTCACCAAGTTTTCATTTTCATTGAAAAATTATTGTATTATTTGTAATTATTTATTCAGGGGCTTTTCTGAGTCAGTGATCACCTTGTAGCAACAGTGTTCAAGGACAGAAGAATATATTCATATCATATCCTAAGCAGAATTATTGCAATGCATCAGAACTTGTTCCTTCATGTCAGTGGTCAAAGACACACCCACCAACTATAATTATAGTTGGTGGGTGTGTCTTTGACCACTGACATGCTTAGGATATGATATGAATATATTCTTCTGTCCTTGAACACTGTTGAATGTGTTGAATGTGTTGAACACACATTATAATGTGTGTCTCCTTTATATTAAACGTGAAAACTTCTTGATAGACTCTCTACATATTGGTAGGTGGGAGGATTCAAAAGAATGGAAACAGAGTTTGTTCTATGTACAGTAAACCACATTTTATTACTTTGCCACTTCAACTGCTGCTCATTTTTCAGCTCAGTGATTGATCAGGACCAGAAGAAACGAACATGTACTACCAAATGTTTACCAAGAAATAGAAGATGATATTAATTTATCAATAATCATATAGAGCTCATCATAAAGAACAAATTGCAGTGTGCAGTCTCCTGGGATATTCAGTTTCATGGTCAAATGTTTGTGGGTTTTCTTGACTTTGCCTGCACTGTAGGATTCATGTTTTATACTGTGTTGACTTGGTGTGCTTTAGGACTCTGCCCTCGAAGAGCGTCAGACAGAGCGTGGCCTGGTGTACACTGGCAAAGTGAAGCAGAGATTGTGCCTTGTTTTGGACTGCCTGTGTGCGCACGATTTCAGCTCCCGCAATGCCGACCTACTGAACCTCCAGCACTATGTCATACGGCAGAAGAAACTAAGCGAGAAGGAGAGTATCGTCATATTCTATGACACAGTCAGAGTTGTCGAAAGCTTGCACAAGGTAGGCAGTGTGTTCAGTATTTGCTGAATTGCATACTTGTCCACAGTGTTCACCTCCCCCATCAGTGGGGCTGTATTCAGTTGAAGAATGTTGGTTTCCCAGAGCTTAATATTGTGCCTATTTATTGAGCGATTTGTCACCTACAATGGTTATGTTTTGTTTTATGTCTGTACCTATGCACTCTTCATGATCATTTTACTGAATGTTGCAATCAGGTGGGTAGCATTCCTGCTTCATATTCTGATGGTGCCAAGTTTGAATTATCCGCATATATGCTTCTTCTTCATCCTTTCAGTCATGTGGTAGGATAGTACCTCAAATTAGGGCATCACCACTTCGACCCACATTCTTTTTAATTCATTATGCAATAATCATCCCACAATTTGATGCTGTATATTTCGAACTACTGACAGCATAAAGTAAAAGAAAATATTTCCCTATAACAAGCCATGGAGGTCCATAAGGTTGTGAGATGTTGAGGTTCCCACATTTTCTAGACAGTCAGCTCATAGATGGTGGTAAGGTTGTCAGCCTTACACAGCGGTCACCCTTTGCCCCCAAGAATATTCCAAGAATATTCCTGGTACTCATTTCTGTTAGAGGCTGAGTTGACCCCAGGGCGATAGCGGGCTGGAAGGATTAGGTACATTGAAAAAATCCACCTCATTGGTATTTGATGCTGCAACCTTCCGGCTTATAGCATAGTGCCTCAACCAGCTACACTACCATGTGCCCTGACAGCACAGTTAAATAAACCTAAAATAAGTAAACATGATCTTCTATTTCATTTGGTTTGCTCATGTATTCAGATCTTATCCAGTGGGTACCAGAGGCACTTTCCTCAGCAATGAAGGTGACCACTCACCTCTGTCTAGTGCCAAGGTTAAGCGTATGTGAAGTGATACCTTGATTTCGGCCCATGATGCTGAAAATACAAGGAAAACTTTACCATGTTAACTTTTACTGATTCTTTGTACAAACTGACAGTAAAATTGACCATCATTTTGAATAAACAATGTACTTTGTTTCTTTGTAGAAGAACATTGTTCATCGAGACCTGAAATTGGGTAACTTGGTGTTAAATCGCTGCACACACCGTGTCACCATCACCAACTTCTGCCTGGGGAAGCATTTGGGTAGTGAGAATGACCGACTGAAAGACCAGCGGGGTTCTCCTGCATATATATCTCCTGATGTGCTCTGTGGGAAGCCTTACCTTGGTGAGTAATGTGGAGTGTTTTGGCATCTAATGTGTGAATGCAGTTCAGGCTAGAGTTTCCGTGAAGATGTGAGCTGTAATAGCTTTGTGAATTTACAGCCTGGATGAGTGAGATTGGACAGAGTGCAGATGTTATTTGAAACTTTCTAAGGAAATGTATGCAGTCTTCCTGGGTGATCATCAATGTGGAGTAGGTATCCAGCGTTTGAAGACTGTGTCTCCATCAGGGCTTGCTATGATCTTATGTGCACGCATTATGCCACAAAATATACTTTTGGCTGTGTTAATGTGTACCACTGTGGGACACACTAAAATAAGAGAGAAATGACAGAACACATCAGAAGGAAGGAACAGTGATGAGCAACGTGGTCTGTGACTGCTGACTACCTTAGTGTGTCCAACATTCCCCTAGTGGTATATGCAGGGACAGCCAAATGTGTACTCTTTGGTTTCTAATACAACTTACCATGTAGACTTGAAAGGATTCTGATGATGGTGTATACTGTACTTCTTTTAGCTTATTTTGGACTTCATCCATCGTCTGGTATGTAAAAGACAAAAAAACCACGACGTTTCGGAGACTGGATCTGTCTCCGTCTTCAGGTGGATAGGGAAGGATAAACCTATTCAGTTGGGCCTAGCTCTTTCTAACGGGCCCAACTGAGTAGGTTTATCCTTCCCTACCCACCTGAAGACAGAGACAGATCCAGTCTCCGAAACTTCGTGGTCTTTTGTCTTTTACATACCAGACGATGGATGAAGTCCAAAATAAGCCAAAAGAAGTACAACTTTCCATGCACTTAATTTCCAGACATGTTTCACATTCATTTATCATCAGGGGCATCACTTAGCAACAAATCATTGAAATCCATGTACTGTAAGAATATCATAAGAACTGCTTAGTGTAGAGGTAACACTCCAAGACTTGTATTCAGAAGGTGCTTGTTTGAATATTGGCAGGGACACCAGCCATCTTGAGCGAGATTTTTCATGGTTTTTGTCACTCCCTCCACAGCCAGTATGTAAGGCTGAAAACCTCACCGCAATCTGTGAGCCAGTTGTCTAGAAAATATGGGAGCCTCAACATCTCACAGCCCTATGGACCTCTACAGTCTGATTTTCTCAGTCCCTCCAGCCAAATGCCAGGCTAGTGCCTCGATTAGGCTTTAATTGCTTCCTTACAGATACTTTCAAATTCACTATTCATCAATCATTCTGTCATTTGATTCTGAGTAATTCAGATGCTGTCAGGCTCAAACACAAATAAGTTACAGCTTGCTTAAGTTGTGGCCTGTCTGTTTAAGGCAGAAGCATAAGTTTCTTTAAGTATGCGCATTTTGCGACCAGTTTGTTGTTCATTTTTATGTTTGAAAGTATGAAGTTGGTGTTAAGTAACAACAGCAACCTTTTATTGTGATTCATGTCCATTTCTTTAAATCCAGAGCTACACATCCGACCACAATTTTGTTTTTAGGGTTGCAGGCATTGTAAGTAATGTTTTCAAGTTTACTAGCATGAAAGGCATAGAAATATAAGTTTGGGTTGACTTGTATTCATTTTGCTTTGTGGAATCGGCATGACCTGTAAACATGGAAGGGTGTAGGATTTGGTTCTGCTAAGCACCTGCTTTCATGCTGAGCTTATTCTTAAGCCCTGAAGATGCAGGCATTGTAAGTAAAGTAAAGCTACCCCTGTAACAGGTCATGGAGGCCCATAGGGTTGTGAGACGTTGAGGCTCCTGTATTTTCTAGACAGTCGGCTCACAGATGCCGATGAGGTTGTCAGTCTTATGCGCCGGCCACCCTTTACCCCCAGGAATATTCCTGATACTCATTTCTGTCAGAGGCTGAGTCGACCCCAGGGTCATATTGAAAAAATCCATCTCATTGGGATTTGATCCCACAACCTTCTGGCTTGTAGCATAGTGCCTCAACCAACTATACTACTGCGTGTTCCCGATGGAGGCATTGTGTCCTCCAAAACGTCGGTTGACTTTCAGTGGACTGTATGGCATTAAATCCCTGAAAATAGAACTCTTTGTAAATGTGGAAGTGTGGATGTTTGTGTGCAGTGAACATGACACTAAATTTCAGGCAAACCATCGGACATGTGGGCCCTGGGTGTGGTTCTGTTCACAATGCTGTATGGCCAGTTCCCGTTCTATGACTCAAGTCCTACACAACTGTTCAACAAGATCAGAGCTGCTGATTATTCAATTCCAAGGCAAGTTATTTTTTGTAAGGTGGGCTGTGATGACAGGAGAAATCACCTGCCAGCTTAAATGGTGTCACAGCTCATAAGACACTGGTCAAAGTGTAAATACATGTAGCTCCTGGTTTTCACAATAGTTGCATTTCAAAGGTGGTCACATATTTTAATATTTCGTAAC